AAACATCTCGTACGCGATATATTAAGCACATGCAAGATGGCACGAGCGGATAATATCGAAGTGATACATCGCCAATTAAATCGCACGATGTTATTTCCTATTAACTGTTCTTTTTTCATCTGCATAGCGCATCAATTAAATAATTAAGTAAGCGCGCGATCCGCTGCAGCACGTTCGGAGAAAGAAAATGCAGGAAGCAGGAAACGCTACAATTGCCATGGGATTCTTCTGTGATTTCTCGCGCGTTACTTTCCGCGTGTTCACAATTGAAGACTCAGGTTCTCTCCGAAATGACTAGGAAACTGTAAAGTCTTAACGAGCCTTAACAAACTGCTCTTCGAAAGCCTGCCATTTGTGATTTTACAGAACAATTCGAGGCGATTATTATAATATGTCACCTGATAAGAATAAGTACAAAAGAGATATATAGAAAAAAATTAAATAAACGTTTTCATCATAATAAATTGTTGAACACATGATATTTAATAAATTAAGATTTTTTTTTTATTGAAGATATTCTGAAGACTTGCTTGGTAATTAGATTTCTTCTAAAAATGTATCAATTTTTTGTTTCTTTTTCAAATATATTAAGAATATTTATTCAGAAGGAATTTTATTTATTTATATAAAATTATTAATTTTTAATTAGTTATATTAAATTACAAAAGTTGGAATATTTTCTTGAATTTTTTAATCTTTTTTTGAATCTTTAAATTTATTGAATAATTCATCAATAGAAATAAGAGTCAATAAATATGAGATGGCCTGTATCTTTTGTTATTCTTTCTTATTATAAATATTAAACACCCATCATGCGTTTCAAAGCATTTTGTTAATCGTTTTTGATTTCGATGTAGTTTATATATAGCAGATCCATCGTTAATTAATGTAACTATTTCTATTGAACGCGAATCTGGCACTAATAAATGGCCCATTCTATCCGTTACTTTAATCGATTACTCTTGAATTATGCACTCACCGCAATTTAAGCCTACAGCAAGTTTTATTTTGAGAACAAGGATGAGTAGCGGCATAAATAACCCGAATCTATTTTTACTTTTTACTAACGATTGATAGCCAGTTCAGACATTTAAGCTATCGTTCTGCATATTTATAACGCGATAATGTTCCTTCGAACTACGTCTTTCACTTTCACGTGTTGTTTTATCCTTTTTTACACAAAGTGTTTCACAACCATTCTATTCATCACGATATTCTAATAACATATTTAATAAATTAAGAATTAAAGACAAAGATTTTAATATGAAAATATCAAGATATTGTCATTACAATTGTGCTCGAGTTATAAACAAATAATAAGTTAATTAATATTATCATGTAGAGAGTTTATACTTTCAATGCATCGTATCTCACATTTCAATTCGTTTCAAATAATAAGATAGAAGAAGGTTAAATGGTATCTGATTGCGACTGATATTGGACGAAGCTTGTTTAAAATTTTAAACGCGTGATGCAGCATTTATCAAGCTACTACTAATACTTGCCAAGTCCATTTTCACGATGAGAATCGGAATTTCTCCATATCAAGGAAGAACATGAAAGAATTTAAATGAAAATTTTAAACTCTAAAATATTGTATTTTAGCTGTTCTATTATTATTTTTTTCTCTTTTTTTTTGTTTTTCATTATTTATTCATATTGCAAACAAATTTAATTAAAATAAAGTACCTTTGGTAAATTATCCAAATATCTAATAATAGTTAATATATTATGCCTTTATGGTATTCAATAATATTTCCTGAAAAAAAAAATTGTGCAATATGTTTAGCAAAATGCGGATGATATTTTTATCGATAAAAAATTACTTTATCTTGTTTCCATTTTTTATCGAGTTTATTGAATTTGAAATATTTCATAACATAAGTTTATGAAATATTTCATAACATAAGTTTTAGAATTA